TTGATTTCACTCTTGTTTCTGTAATGCCCTACATCCCATGTCCAAGGATTTAATGCTCTGCCACTTTGAGGATCTTTGGTACTTGCACGAATTTTGCAAACTGGTGCCTATTTCAGTCTATCAGGATTGTTCTTGGAAAACAAAGTAAAAAAAAATAGTTGAAAAATCAAAAAGAGAGGATCATGTTTGAGATTATTTGTGATTATTATACAACTTGAAATTGTCTTTTCTGTGCTTAACTGTAAAATAACAGTGCTGTGACTTAACATTTGGTAATTCACCATCTTTTGCCTCTCAGAGTGTTTTCAGAGTTTTTAATCCAACACTTGAGCATTTTCCCTCGTGTACTTCAATGTTAATAAATAAATAAAACAAAATATCTAAGTTGTTCTCAAAGCAATGTTATCCTTACTAAAGCTTTTACTTTTGCCAGCTGATTTCTCACAATAATCTGTGGGAGTGGTATATAAAATTTGGGATTTTTTACAGCAATCTTGCTGCATCACTTAAGAGGATTGTCCAGGTGTGTGGCAAAAAGGTTTGGATATTGCAAAAAGCTCTTTTGCACAATTTACCCTGTGTATAAAAAAGAACTGTGTGACTGCTAAGGAGTGCAGGGGTCAAAAAAGTGATCCTGCCCCCTTTTATATACATATAATTAGCAGATTATGACAAAACAAGTCAGATTATGCATCTGACAAAACTAACTTGTGGCCCTCTCAGAAAGTATATAATTATAATATCATGTTGTCACTATTCACCATATTCTTCTGATTCTTTTGTTGTGGTGGCTTCAGGTTGACTGGTCAGGGTTTTTAATTTAATTTTTAAATTTTTTTTTTTTTTTTTTAGAATAAAGGAGCTGTGGACACCTCCATCCATTGAGTTCTAAATGTGGGAGATTTTAAAGTTAATTTTAGAATTTTTTTTTAGAATAAAGGTGTTGTGGACACCTCCATCCATTGAGTTCTAAATGTGGGAGATTTTAAATTTAATTTTAGAATTTTTTTTTTAGAATAAAGGTGTTGTGGACACCTCCATCCATTGAGTTCTAATTGTGGGAGAAAATTGCCTTTTATGCTGTTCCTGCTTTTGGTTTAATATCATGTTTAACAAATTACAGCTTGAGAACTGCTTCTGCCTGGGAAGCACCAGATTTCTTTTGATATTTGGTAGCATTGATAGAGAAATCCATTGGTGACTTTTAGCCAGTTTTATTTCTGGCCAGGGTCAGCAGTAGCAGCAGCCTGGGAACTCTGTGCCTGACCTGAGGAATTGCTGAGCATCAGGTGGAAGTGGAATTGCCTCTGCTTTTTGTGGGGCTGGAGCTGGGGCACAGCAAGGTCATTTCATGTCAGTGCAAACAAAATGTGCCCTTTGCACTTGACCCTTTTTGCTTTGATACTGAATTAGAGCAGCAAAAGGATGGATCCACAATATCCCAATATACCTAATAATCCCTCTGGTCAACCTGTATTTTTTCCAAACAAAGCAGAGAGCAGGTTTTTGTTCTCTTCTCCTGTTGGAACATTAAATGTAAAAATCAGTTTCCTCATGCTGGTTGCTACAAGACATCATGGCAGTATCACAGAGTGTTTTCCTGCCACAGCCTTTGGCTGGCATTACTTTTGCTCTTCAAGCCAGCAGATATTCAGGGCTGCTTGGCTTTTCACTGGCAGGCTGGTGTGAGGGTGTGAAATTACTGCAGGAGATCTCACTGGAGATTCACAGGGATACATTTTCTACTCTATCAGATGCTGGACTCGTGCCACACTTTGGTGGCATTTGATACCATGGGAGTTTTTCCTCAATAGAAGCCATGGCTGGGTTTGAACATTCTGCCAATGAAATGTCCCAGTTTGTTGGAGAAGCCCCAGTGAAATGTCCCAATGTCTCAATTTGTTGGAAAAGGCCCAGTTTGGTAGCTGGGAGTGCAGTGTGGGCACCCCAAATGTCCTCCCTGCTGCTCGTGTTTCACTCGGGGCTGGGTCACCCCTCCTGGAGGCAGCACCTCTGTGGTGAAGGATGAGCACAGCTTTTAGGGCTGCCCTTTGCTCTCTTGATGCACAAACTGCTGGTTTTGGCAGATTCAGTGTTCTTCCCTTTCATTCTCAGTGCTGCCTCTTGGCACCAGCAGCAGTTCAAAGATAAACTGTGAGTGCAGGAGGGCTCATGGGATGGAAGATGTTCTGTTTATATGTGCTGTCCAGACATCACAGTTGTGTCCTTTCACACACACATCTAGTTGTAGAAATTTCCCAAAGGAGGCTGAAATACCAATAGTTTCTCCAATCTAACATAATACAGCCAAAATCCAAGCTGCTGAACTGGCATCCATTGTCACTTCCTTTCTGAAATTTCCTTGAAAAATCCTCTCCTGTTTTGTTGGTGTGGAAATTGAGCTCCAGGTTGTGAAAATGATGTGAAGCTAAAGCCTGAGAAGAACTGTCTGAGAAGGAAAAGTCACTGTTAGGTTATTCAAACTTGAGGCAAGCATAGTGCCAGGGTTTAGTGATTGCATGATCTCTGATCCTTTGCATTCTTTTGGTGAAGGAGGTGACCCCCACTATGCACACATTCCCCACTTAACCAGGAACACGAGAAGAATTTTAAGGAATCTCTAAGCATCACCTTAGGTGAGAGGAGGTGCAAGGAATTTAGGGAAAAACACAACACAAACAGTCCTAATCTCTAAAATATAATAAGAGTGTTACATTTAGTCATTAGTTGATGTTGTTACTGTTAACATCACACTTTAAGTGTTTTTAAAAGCTGTATGCAAGAGGTTGAGTTCCTAGAAAAGCTGTAGTAACAGAAAAGATGTGCTGAGACCCCTGTCAGGTACTCTACAAACACATGGGGACAGCTTCTAAAGCTGGCAGAAATGTACAAAATTCTCTTCACTGTCTGCATGGGGAGAGATTTTCATAGGCAGGAGATCTGAAAATGAAGAAATCTGTCATTCATTGCTTATCAGAAGTGATAAACAGCCAGACACTTCTGCTATTTCACCATGATTGACAAAATCAGTTGTAGGGGCTAAAAACATCTCAAGATGGAGAGGAAGCAAGGAAAGCAATCATTTGTTTGTGCTGCTGTGGTGTTATTAATTCCAGCTGCAGTAGCTGACCTGCTGAGGGTGTTCTGATGTGAGAATCACACGATGGAGACTGTCCTTCTGTGGGAGATTTCAACCCTGAGCTCTGCCCTGGGAGCCTGGGGATGTAACAGGTGGAGCTGGGTGTGGAATTCTGTATTTCTGTGAAAACAGTCTGGGGGATGTTGTGTTTTTGTGCAGCACAGAATTACCAGTGAAAGGCATTTGCAGGCAGCTAGTAAGGATGCACATCTAATGCTTTTCAAATGGCACTCCAATCATCTGCTTTAAATGATTAATAAGCATAGGCTGAAAATAGCACTGCATTTACCTAATGTTTGCGTGATTATTTTTGTAAACTTTTCATTCAGGCTTTCTCTGCCATCTTTCTAAGCATTGTCAAAACAAGAAACTGCTGCTATTCTTGATTAGTTTTTCTCAGTTGGTTTGATCTTCCTCATGACCCAGGGAAAAGCACCCTCCCTTGTTCACTCTCACTTGACAGTAGGCATGTGGTTTAAGATCAGATGAGAAAACCAATCTAGATATTTGCAGAATACTTACAGGTTTCTGATTTTCTTCCAAAGCTGGTAACTGAACTTGGTGAGACCTACAAGTCTGGATTTTGTTAACAAGCTTGTCTGAAAGCTCTACAAATATACTGTAACATCTTCTCCTGGCTTTCACTAAGTTAGAAAGAGTTTTAAAAGATGTGGAGGGATTTGTACTTTCATGTTGCCTGTCCTACTTTTTCCTTTAGTCCTTGCTGAGATAAGGTTAAAACTGGAATTTAAATAGTGTTAAGGAAGAAGCCAAGATAGTAATCAGAATATAATTAACAGTGTATCATCTGTCAAACAACCAGGGCTGGGCAGCGCTGCTATTCACCAATAGAAAGTAGTGGAATACTTCCAGTTTTCCAAGTAAAATGCTGGTGTTGTTCACGGTAGCAGCCTGCAGGTGTTATGTGATGTGTGTGCATCCCTCACACCACACAACCCCCACCCCACCTACCAAATACACTTTTCTGCTCTTCAAAATCCCCTCTTTGGGGACGTTTGGTAACTGGTTTTAACTCTCAAGGTGAAAAGATTATGTGGCACAAGAGAACTGTTATGAAATCTAACTTAAGCCCATGTGTAAAACCAGAACGTGTTGGTTGGATACCCAGCATTAACTACTCTGGCAGCATTTCAAAGATGCCATCCTCTTTGCAAACAAAGTACTATCTTCAAATCTAAGTCTTCAAATATCTTCAAATCTAACCCCACGGGGTGGGGTTTTATTACTAATTTTCTAAATCTGGAGTGCTGATGCTCAGTCTGTGTTATGCACATCACCCGTACATCATAATTCCATTTTTTTTACTTCCTCAGGTGCTGTGTCCCAGGGCAGCACTCTCCAGCTCTCAGAATCCTCGCCAGGCTTTCCCCTTGAGACTTTTGCAGAATTCTGTCAGAAAAGCGCCGCGCGTTGAGGAAAAATAAAAGCCAAAGGAAGGTGCTGGTGTCAAACGTTCGGTGCTGAACAGACGCGAGGCGCCCCAGAGCCGCGCTCACCTGCGCGGAGCCTCCGCGCATCCCCCGAGCCCGCGCAGCGGCCGCGCACCTGCGGAGCCCTGAGGGAGCGCTGAGGGAGCCCTGCGGAGCCCTGAGGGAGCGCTGAGGGAGCCCTGCGGAGCGGAGCGGGGCGCGGCGCAGCCTCTCCCCGCTGAGGGGAGCCCCAGCCCCGCCGGGGGAGGCTCGGCTCGGCTCCGGCACCTCGCGGGGTGGGGAGAGAGAGGCGCTGCCCGCCCCCCCGGGGCTTCCCCGCTAAGTGTGACGGAGCCGCCGCCTCCCGGCGCAGCGCAGCGGCCCCGGCGCAGGAGGAGGCGCCGTGCGCGGCCCGAGTCCCCGGGCGCTGCCGCCGGTGAGGGGACAGCGCCGGCTCCGCGCTCCCGGCGGCTCCGCTCCGCTCGCCGGCTCAGGTAGGAGCGGCAGCGGCGCCCCCGGGGCTGCCCCGAGCCGCGGTGACCTTGAGGGGGGCGGCGGGAGCGGGGCCGGGGCCGAGCCCATCCCGGCACAGCCGGGGCCGGGGTACCGGGATGCGGCCGGAGGATGCGCTCGGGCGGGGATGGAGGCGGCTCCGCGGGGCGGACGGATCGGGCAGCGGCTGCGGGAAGCCTCTGCTCTCAGTCCTGCCCGAGCCCGGAGGGCTCTCAGGGACGGGAACGGGTCGGGAGGCGGCGGTGGCCGCGCTCTGCCCCGGCCGGGGGCTGGGAGGCGGCGGCGGAGCCCCCGCCGCTCCCCATAGAAATATGAATTGGAGAGAGTCAGCAGGAGGTGTTTGCCCGCAGCCCCGCTCCCCCGGCGGGGTGATGGAAGGAGAAGCCCTCCCGGGAGCGCCCAGCTCCTGCGGTGCCGCTGCGGCCGCGCTGGGGCTTTTCGGGTTTTTTTCTTCTTCTTTTCCACGGGGGGATTAAAATGTTTTACAAGCAGTAGTTTCCAAAGGCTCGCAGTACTCCAGCGGAGCGTTTGGAGCGGCTGGAAGCCCGAGGAGAAGGCGGCGGGAGGGAACTTTGCCCGCCCAGGTGCCCGGGATGCCGGCTGGGGTGGCCGCTGTAGCCCCGGCCGCCTCCACCTGGGCATGGATGTCGTCAAGATGTGCTTTCCTACCGTCACCGACCAGAATGGGCTCTTCTGCTGCAATCTTGCTTTGGAGACTGTACTAGAAACGTGAAAGGAGGGGCACTGTCTTCTGTTCTGTATCTTTGAAAGGCCTCCTGTATTGTAGGGGAAGAAAACCTCTCGTTTGCTGAATTAAACTGTCCAAAAGTTTATTTCTTTCTGTGTATTTCTTGCTGATTCTTTTTGCTTGTGGTTTTTTTTTTTTTTTTCCATCTTACTGTGCAGTTTTATCACGTTACACCAACCCGATTCTGTGCTAATACTTTCTTTACTTTCTTTTTAATTAAAGCGTATTTTGTAGTAAAGTGCTATTTGAGAAGCATGGGTACCAAGATAAGGTGCTGGGAAGATAGGCAAGCTGAAAGCAATGTAGAGTAGGGCTTAACTGCTCCCAAAATAAGCTAAAATGTAAGTTTTTAACCAGTGTGAAAGTTGATAGTGCTGTAACTCAACTCCCAAAGAGTAGAAGGGAATCTTTTAAGGAATTCTGTGTGTGGCTGGTCGATACTGCGAGCCCTGGTTACGTAAGCAGCTCTTTGAGTGGCTCTGCACACACACTGTCATGTTCTCAGCAGCACTTTGTTTCTGAGCCTGTCCCCTCACCTACATGGGACTAATTTTCATGTGCTGACTCAAACAGGATTCAGCATTTTCATGACTTTTCTGTGGAGAAGAAGTGGTTTGTCTGTGGTATCTTGCTAAGAAAGCAGCTCAATATTCACTGCAGTGACTTCATGGTCTGACGTTAAGCTCTGTTTTCAAAGTGAGCATTGCTGCAAGCTCTTCCTAAAGCAAAATAATATGGATTAAATGTTCAGTTTCGTGTCAATATTAACATAGTCACTTTAACACTTAATGGAGTGAATGTAGGGTATTCTGTTACCTTGAATTCCTATTTGATACCATTAGCAGCACTGTCCTTTGCCCACATGCTGTACATCCAGGACCACAACCTCTGGATTATCCAGGCTGTTGAGTGTGATCCAAATGCTTGGTGTGTCTCTCTGTCCTGTAGGCACACGGTTTGGGGTGACTGGGAGTGGGGCTGTGACCCATCCTCATCCCTAATAGGCTACAGCTGTGAGAAGCAGGTGAGCAGCATTGAAGGTAATGAGCCAGGGCTGCTGACCAACCAGCACAGGGAACAGGGGGCACACAGGTGCAGTGCATTAACCCAAGGGGATAAAAGGCCGGGATAAGAATGAGGAGGGCAGATATGTGCAGCCTTCTGGAGTGGAATGGTGTTCCTCGGGATGGGCAGACCCCTGAAGCCTTCTCAAGTGGTGAGCTGCTACTGTGTATGGGTTGGAGATTTCTGAACTTGTGTGGGGATACTCTGTGTATTGTGACCATCTTTGCTGCAACATTGTGCTAACCATATCTTTTAACCATTCAATTGCCTGTTTCCTGATCGTGCTAAGTACATTTGTATTGTTTTTGCCAAGCTCCATGGGGAGATAATGGGGATATTTATATGGTGTCCTGTGGTGCTGTGACCTCAGTGGGTTTGGTTTGGAGGAGTGCAGGGAGGAGGCTGAATGGAGAACTATCACAGCCAGCGGGTTGGGTTTGGGCTGCTTTCCCCTAAGAGGTGTTTGGTGTTACTGCAGCTGCCTCAGGGCTCCTCTCCTGGCCTTTGTCACTGTTTCAGAGGGCTGTGAGTCTCCACTGTGCCCAAAGTCACGTACCAGGCACCTCTGACAGCGTTTGCTGCCTTTTTGGAGCTGCCTGAGTCAAACCTGGTGCATTTGTCTGGCTCCTTATCCTTGGTTATCCAAGAATAAAGCACCTCAGGTCATTTACCACAGAAACTTCAGTGATGTGACTGGGAAGTTGGACTGTTTGTCTGAATATTGATAAAATCCTCTAAGTGCTTGGAGTTGATCTGCATCAACAAAGCCTGTGTATTCTGGTTATTGTAGGCAGTTTAAAGGGGGGCATGTGAGGTTGAAAAGGAAATTCTGATACTCAAAACCCTCTAAAACTTGGATTGTAACTTAAGGATAGGTTCAGGACTGCAGCTGGGGAAAAGCAATCTGTGATGACCAGAGGAAATAGCAGAGTAATTGTACAAGAGATAAGTGATTGTTTTAGTGGCAGTCTGATGGGAGATGATAGTGAAGGAGATAATTGGGAACAGAGTGAATGTTTACATTTAAACAAAATTGTGTGGCTGCTGAAATCTTTTAAAACAAACATCTGAACAAAGTTCAAACTTCTGGTGATGCTTCTCCTTGGAATGTGTGTGTCAGGCATAAGAATTCTGTTTCCAAACAGCTTTACATTTAATGTACACTGTGCAGGAAATGGTTGCAATTTGCAAAGTTCAGAGCAGAGCTTAAGCTGTCCTTGAAAAGAAAAAGTTGGTAAAAAGTAAGTTAAATAAAAATTTTATGAATAGAAGTGGCAAATGCAAGAGGATAAATAGTTTTAATTATCTGAAAAGAAAAATATAAGATATTTGAGAAAGGAAAAGTGAGAATGAACAAGAAATATTTGTGTGTAACAGGATGACAGAGGTGACAACAATGAGTGTCACAGTCACTGAGATCCAGGTTGGTCTCAGTATAGTCATGCTACAAAATTATCAGTTAAATCAGAATGGCTTATTTATTGCCAAAGCCTACTTTGAAACAAGTTTCATCTTCATAAATGGACTTATTTAGTAGTGAAATATTTCAGACTTCCATTTTATGGGTGTGACCTGTTTTTCACATCTATGTGGTCTGAGACAGCATTTCCTAAGGGATGTGTGGCTCCCATATTGCTGATGACCCCAGATCCAGCAGCATGGGCTTATATCTAAGGGTCATCATGTAAAAGGCTGTGTTTTCACCTGTTTTGGAAGTTATGCTCAGAATTCTTGAATATTTTGTAACATCTAAATAAAACAACTGGTGTGCTGCAGGGGCGCCCTCCACACACTGGAATGTAAACCAAAAAAGCTTTAAATATTTCTAGGAGGCAGAGGTTGCTGCATCTTTAATTAGTGCAATAGGAAGTGTGTTTTGGGGAGTTCATTGAACACCTTTAGTTGTGCAGAAAAGGCATTTCTGAAGAGCCTGCTCAGCTCAGTGCCTCCAGAGCAATTCTCCTGTGGATGCTTCTTTATCTGCTTCCAGCCTTTCTGTCCCCTGACCCAAAGGCTTGCACTGCTGGGTTTTACAGTCCCTCCATCACTCCTGGTCCCATTCACATCCCAAGAACTGCTCAGCTTCTGAGGCTGCCAAAGGCTTGGGAAGGCAAGGTTGTGGTGCCAGAGCTGAGCCCCCGTGAGGGAGCAGCAGCAATGGGGCCGTGTGTGGGGTTGCCCAGTTGCCACAATACAGGAACCTCTGTTTGCACAGTGAGTTTATTCCCTGGGTGGTGGAATGCCCTTAAAAAGTCTCAGCAGGGGGGTTTTCAGAGCCAGACCTGCCTGATTTCATTGATGCTCTGAGGTATTTCTGCCTGCATGGAGCTGTGGGGTTGTGTAAACACAGAAACTGGCACAGGGGCTTGCAGGTTAATCAAGGATTGATGTTGATTGTTGAAGGGATGGGATTTGGAGCTGCAAGACTGAATCACATTTCCCCCTCACACTCCACAGCAGAGTGACCTTGGATGCACATTTCAAGTTTTGAAAACCTTTTGTGTGTTGTGAAGCCAGAGTAATGCAGCTGTCTCTGTTCAGAGTTTCTATTTCTAAGATTGATAAATCATTAATTCCACAGTGTTTGGGGAATTGCCTTTAGCCTGATTTATTTATTAAAAAGGCTCAAATAGCTTGTATTGAACTTATGAAAATTATACCTCCTCTAAAATCATCCATCAGGGATGAGGATTGCTCCAAGACACTGCAGCTGCTGTCCACTCCAGCTGCATCTCTTCATGGGATGCTTTAGGGTTCAGGAGTTTCCTGGAGAACAGGATTTCTCCTGGTGCTTTAGCAGTGAGCCTAATGCCCAGCACATTCCTTTTGTTATCTCACGATGAGCAGGAGATTCCAAGCCTCTGGATAGCTTTCCTGTGCAGAAAAAGTCACCTTGAAAGCATTTGCTGATCCTGTGTGTTCTGTCCTGCTTATTGAACAGCCATTCTTCATTAGGGGCAGTTATTCCCACTGATGGGAAATCTTCCATCCTGGGAGGGGTGATTGCATTCAGCACAGCAGACAAAACAGGGCCATATTTTAGATGATCCAGCATTCCATTTTTTGTGACTCAGGTAATTTGTTCATATTTTAAGCTTTTTTGTGCTGTTGTTATTATTTAAAGAGGTTAATACCGTGTAAGAGGATTGAAATAATAGGAATTGTGTTTTCAGGGAATGTTCCCTGTAACCCATACTGAACACTTCCAATAGGTTGGTGATGGGTTCCTAGAAAGTATCCCAATGGGTATTTCAGAGTACTTTTAAGCAGAAGTGTGAATGAGGAGATTTATGATAATCAAGATACGCTATCAGCAGTTTTCTTTGCAATTGCTGAAGCTTCAAGTAATTACCAGAAAAATTAAGAATTGCATTCTTTGTCATCTGATGAAAAGGATATGTGCATTTTTAGGTGCTGGCCTACAGTTACAGGAAAAGCAAAATAGAAATTTTGAGAAGCAATTTCATTACTTAAAATGAATTGGTGGCATTATTAGGTGTATTTACAACTGCTTTGCTGCATTGAATTTGTAGCCTTAGGTTCAAATGCAGTGTTAATGCTTTGCTTTAGTCTATGAAATCTGCGTGTTCACCAGCGTTTTTCTCATGTGTCAAGTATTTTACAAGCTTTAAATCAGTTTATGTGAAGTAAAAATAGATGGCTGGCATGAGTTTTAGCCTATAAACAGTAGAAAATAACTACATGAAGACAAAATGTTAAAATTCTACCTGGAAAAGTTCTATTCCACATCATTGGGTTTTTCTTAATTACAGGAGGTGTCCAAAAGCCCTGACAAGAACTGGGCCCATTTTTTAGTTGAGCTTGAAAATGTCACAAGAATCAATCTGGAAGATGTAGAATGATTCCTCTAGAAAGGTTAAATACTCTGAAAAATTAATGTGTTATATACAGCAGCCCTGGTGCTTCTGTGTCAAGTGCTAAAGAATTGGAGAGCAGTAGGAACAGGGAAATGCCATTATGGGCTGTGAAGGTTGGTGTTAATGGGTGTGTTCCCTGCAAAGATCCACTGTTAC